AGGCAAACCTGACTTCACCAAGTAATGTTTCATGTTTGGGAAGGATCTTTGTTGTTACTGCAAACGATTTTCATTTAATAAAACCTAATTTTGTTGTTAAACTCAAAGGGAATACATGGCAGCCACAGAAAGTGGCCAAACAGAAGGCAGTCTGGCTGTTACTAGAGCCCTCTTTGTGTACCCTAGGTCATGTTTTGGTTTTGCTTTTTGCTTTTTTGTTTGTTCTTTTGATATTTTTCAGTCTGGGTATAACTGGGTATTTCCTGGAGATAGGAAATTAAGTACAAAGTTAGCAGGACTTGGTTATGAACACTGTCCAGCCAGTTCTACTGGACTTAAGAATATGAAATTAAGAATTTTTCAGGCCCGGGATTTAGCTCAGTGGTTCCACCACCTACCTATCACAAACACAAGGTCATGAGTTCAATCCCTGGTACCAAAAAGAAAAAGAAAAAGAAAAAGAAGAATTTTTCTTTTTCTTTTTCTTTTTTTTTAAATTTAACTTATTGGTACATTCTAGGTAGACAGTACAGTTACATGCATTACTGGGATCTTGTACCTTTACATGCCAGGTTTTGGTTCTCATTTTTTCCCCTTGTCCCCACCCTCCCTTAAGAAGAATTTTTCTACACTGAATCTTTGGCTTCTTAAAGTTAATTGGGAAGGTGTCCTGCACTTCCTCGTTATGGCCATTATGGCAAATGCTTCCAAAGGCGTCCCCAGGACCCATTCTGATAGGATCCTGTCATCCTAGTCTCAATAGCCACAGATTACGTGGTTAATTGACCTTAATGCTCTCTTGGCAAGCAGAGCGACTTCAATAAATCTACCCTGGGCTTACTCCCCATCACAACAAAACAACAAAACCTGAATTTCAGCCTGTATACAACTGTCCCTCAAACTAGACAGGAGCACAAGTTGAAAGATCATCTATAAGGAAGAAAGAGGAAACATGACTTCTAGAACAACCTCAGTTCTCAAAACAGGAGCTTGAGAAGGGAAACTAAGAAGAGCAAGTGATGGGAGAATAAAAACGGTGCTTTAGAGAGCAAAGGGCATTATGAATTTTTCACCAAAATCAGGAAATATAGCAAAATATATCATGGAAGAATGTGTAGTTGGACACATCTGTCATTGCAAAAAAAAAAAAGATAAATGATTTGACAAAATATACTTCTTTTGTTAAAATCCCAGCACAATATACACACACATACAAATGTAAGCCTCAGTCTGTACTCCTAGATAACTAAAGATAATGATCCCAATTAAATTTAAACCTGAAACCAGTTTAAACACAGGCTGTTAAAGCTAAATGAAATGTTTCTGCCAATTCAGTCTCAAAAATATTTCCCTAACTACCACCCCTGTACTCTAAACTATGTACCTCTTTAGTCCATAAACATAGCAGCCTGACTTTGCCTAGTACTCAGCAACAGTCTTGTCTTGGGGTACTGGAACATAGGGTCCCACCTAGGGCCAAGTCAGAGATCCTTTCCTAGGGGTAACCCCCTTCTATAAAGTTAGGTCCTCAAAACCTTTGCTGGAGGCAGTAAAAGCAGCAGGATCGAATCAGAATCCAAGAAAGAAAAACTCCTTATTATTCAAAATCTCCTTGATCCCAGAATACACATTGGGATGAGCAGAGAAACTACAATTCCAGCCATGATCTCTCAAGGCCTTTTGAAGCAGGGCCACCATTGAGAAGTCTCAGCCTGATGAAATTCAAATTTACCTCCTAGTTCAGCACAATCTAATTTGCTACATGGAGAATTAAGCCAAAAGCAATGGGCTACCTGAGATCAGCAAAACCTAGCAAATTTTTCTTCTCTACCCTAATTTCACTTCCCTCATTTTAAACATACAACCAGCCATTAAAATGTGTTCATCAGGTACAAAATGGAACTGAAATTCAAGGACACAAAAATCACCAAAATATTTAGTTTTTAAGAGGCTGAAAGTTTGTTGGTCTCAGTTATGTCCTAGAAATATTTCAATAAATTTCTTGAGGTTATAGAAAGAAACTGAAAGTATCTCCATGTTTTCTGTCTCACTGAGAAAAAAAAGGGAAACAAAGGAAAAAGCAATGCATCTCCATCTTGGGGTGGTTTGTGGTTTGGTGGTTAGGTACCAAAATAGTTGGCTAGAGAATCTAGCCAATCCTTTTCAAAAAGTCAGAAACTCTGTCAACCTAGCCTTAGCTGACCACTTAAAAATGCAGTCCAGCTTCCACTGCTAACTTTTGCCAAAATTGTTCTCCTCAGCAAACTTCTCTTCCCTACAGTTCTGTGAAACTCGGGTCCCTCCTGGCTTGAATTTGATCATGAACCTGTCTAGAACTTCAAAAAGGTCAAACTAATTCTCTTGCTTTTCTTTTTCAGCACCTCTCTCATAACTTTCCCCTTTATTTGAGCCTTTTATGGTTACTGTGTTTTGCGTGTCAACACTCCCAACACCGGCAGCCCACCCTGCAATGCCAGGCCAGGCCCAGGACAACTTAGCTGGCTTTTTTTCCTTTGCCTACTTAGGGGCTGCCTGGGAGCCAGGGACTGAGTGGAAAACTGGCCTTGCCAATCACAGGCTCAGGGGAGCGATTTTCCTTCTGAGTTGATGCCTCAGAATCAAACTAGCTCACCCTAAGGGTTCCCACTCCAGCACCCTTGGCTCCTAGGATCTAGTATAGCTCCTAAGACAGAGACCCAAATCTCCACAGGACTCACACGGTTCCCCTTTCATTGCTAAGATCAACAGGGTAGGCTGAGGAATGGCCTAGGACAGATTGGAGCTTTGATCCCTGCAGCTCAGGCAGCAGGGCCCCAGAGCTGGATCTAGACCCGCCAGCGATGCCCGGAGACTGCTTGAAGACAGACTTAGGTCCTCTGGGTTTCTGCTACCACAAGCCTAGGCTCTGCTTGGTAAAGGCACCCTCTTAATTTGCCTCCCTGTTTTCTGCAGTTGGCAACTTGGAAAAGGAAGCGAAACAAAGGTCCCGGGAAAGTGAATTTTTCAATTAATTGGTGTGAGTAACGGGCGAGGGTGGGGGTGGTCGGGTGGGAGCTGCAAAATGCAAGAGGCTGGTAGGCTGCGAGTGAGGCGCAGAGGCTTCTCGGAGGCCGCGGAATGGTTTTCTCCTCCCGCACCCTTCCGAGGGTCTTTCTGCAGGTCGAGGGAGGCGTCCTGGAACGGGGAAGCCCAGCTTGGGAGGTGGCTCCGGCTGGCCTGAGTGTAGAGTGTAGAGACATGCAAGTATGGACCGGGAGTCCGAGGACATTCTCGCCGCCGCGGCAGATTGTCAGGCTTGGCGCCCACGTGAGGTGGGTCCTCCTTCGGCTTGACTTGCTTTTGAGTCTCTGCCGCCGCCCAAGGGTGCTCCGTGGGTATTTTCTCCGCGGAGAGTAAATGCATTATAGGGTCTACGCCCAAGAGTTTTATAAGTGAGAACTGCCTTTGCCCGTTAGCAAAGTCAAGGTAGGGAAAATCAGCTCCCTGGAGTTCAGAGTCCAGAGGTGGGCTAACGAAAGATTAAACTGCAGAATTAAAAAAATATATATAGATAGATATATCTATCTATCTATCTATAGATAGATAGATAGATAGATAGATAGATAGATAGATAGATAGATATATTTTCACATACTTTTGACCATCTCTGCCCTTCATCTTCATTTTGTTTGCAGCTCGGGGAGCCGAGGAGAGGTGGCAAAGACGGCCCCGGCCGAGACAAGGCGCAGGCCTTGGCGCCTGCCTCCGTCGCAGACAGGGCCTAGGATGGGCCGTCGCGCAATCAACTCTTGGGGGTGGCTGCAGCGCCGATGCCTGGGTCTTGGGAGCGAGAGGAGGGGAGGT